CCCACCCCCCTTTTCCTTTTCATTTTATTTTGGATCCTGCTAAAATTAGCCGGGACTGCTCTGGGTGTTGCGTGTTAATTTGATTTACTCCGGGATTCCGGCTTCCAAGACGCCATTTTCCCCCCTTCTCGCTCTATCTCTCTCTATTTATCTATCTATCATTTATCTGCCGAGCTATCTATCCGTCTGTCTGTCCGTCCATCTCCCTCTCCCCGGGTGCCTTCCCTCCTCCCCCCGCCCTCCTCCCTCTTCGCTCTGCGTGTGCTGCGCGGCCGTGCGCTCCCCTAATCTGACAGATGAACACCGCCATGGGTTTGCCGCAACACAAGCAAAAGCACCTTTGGGGGCTGTGGCGAGGGATTGAAACCGGGATCTAAAAGAGAAGAGAGAAGAAGGGGGGAATCCGAGGGAGGAGGAGGAGGAGGAAGAAAGAAGAAGAAGAGGACGCTGTTAAGAAGCCCCCACTGCCGTTTTGGGGATATGGGTTAGTAAAAAAAAAAAAAAAAAAAAAAAAAAAATCCAACAAAAAACTGAGCCATCGAGGAAAGGTCTGTCTTGGTGATACGGTTTGCAGGAGGGTCTTACCCTCCTCTCTTCTCCCCCCTCCCCACCTTTTTCCCTTCTGCATGCAAAAGTTAATGTCGTCTCCTTTTTTTCGTGTTGTGACTTTGCAATGGCGCGGAAGGGGCTTTATTTATTTGGGGGGGCAGAAGGGAGGGGGGTAATTTCTCCTCTGTGCAATGCATGCGGTCCCTCTCCCCGAGACTCCTTCCCTCCCCATGCTTTGTGGCTGGTGGGGGGTGTGTGTATGCATGTGAGTCTTTGGGGGTGGGGGTCTGGGTGGGGGGGGGGAGGGGGGTACAGCCACGCTGCTGGAAAGGGGTTGCAAATTTTTATTTTATTTTTATTTTTTAATTTTTTTTTTCTTTTTTCGCAAGGAGTTTGCATAATGTATTTATCCCTCTTTGCCCCCCACCCCGCTTTGCTACCCTGTATGAGTTCCCCCGATGATACCGGGGATAGGTGACTGCTCTGCGTGTGCATGTGGAAAGCAGGGCGAGCAGCCACCCGGCCCCCCCCCCCCCCCCCTCCTCCTTCACACACACACACACACTCCCCCCAACCCGGTTCGTAAATTGCAGGTTAAGTGGAGCTAGAGAGCAACACTGTAACCTTCTGGGGATCTGAGTGTGTGCGTGTGTGCGAGTGTGAGCGGGTGTGCGTATGTGTGCGGGGCCGGTGCTCGGCGCTGGGCGAGGGGAGGTGGCGGGGGCTCCGGTGCCCCCGGACGTTCGCGGCCCCGCGCTGCTTTTGACATTGAAAAGGACACGCGGCACTTTGCGGGAACATGAGAGTGCTGGGGGCTGCAGGGGGGATTAGGAATGCGGGAAACCTCCCCTGCTCGGCGGAGGAGTGAAGCGCGGTATTAATCGGTGTTAATAAGGAGACCGTGATTGCGGGAGAGTGGCCCCTCTCCTCGCCGTGGATAGAACCAGAGAGTTGAGCTTTGGGCTGTTCTTGAACGTCCCCGGGGTGTTGGCGGGGTGTGTGCGTGTGTGTGTGTGTGTATGAGCCGAGGGGGGTGGGGGGGGGCAAAATGCAGCCTGCAGCTGAGGGCGGCTATTGTCAGCCCCAGCCCTGGCGCAAGGTTCGCTGCCCACCCCCGGGCACACGCACACACTTGCACAGACACACACACACGCGCGCACACACACACGCACGCAGTCCTTCCTTGCCGGCAGGCAGGGGGATATCAGGACCCCCCAGTGGGGCGGAGGATGCCTCCCGCCTCGCTCCCCAGTGAACGCGTGTGTGTGTGTGAGTGTGTGTGTGAGTGAGTGTGCATCACGCCGGGCACCGGCCATCCCCGCCGTCTCCGCACCGCGCCGCCTGCCCCTGCCTGCGTGTATTTATGTGTCCAAAAAAGCCAGTTGAGAGAAGGATTTCCGATTCGTTTCCGCTTCAAATAAACGGCACTGATAATCTCGGGCCCGACGCCTGATGCTAAAAGGGCACTTCGCAGGAGGGGAGAGGCCGCCGTCCCTCCCCTCCGGGGTTCGGGTCCCCGCGGGAGAGAAGCGGAGAGAGAAGTGGGGTTGCACCGGGCGTACCCCGGGCAAAGAAATGCCGCAGCTCCGGGTAGAGCTGTTTCGGCAGCAGCCGGACCACTGTGACCCCGGTGGGGTCGGGGGAGCAGCCCTGCTGCCTTATATGTCCATCTGTCAGCCAGCAAAGGGGGTGCTAGGCGAGAGGATTGCTGAGCTCGCTAGTCCTCTGCTGTCAGGGAGAGTAATGTGATCCCGTCGGTGTTGACAGGAGGGTTTCAGGGGTGTAGGAGCGCTGGTAAATCCACCCCCATGTTGCATATTGTGGAGCCAGGCGGTAGCACTTATTGACTCGGGAGTCCCTGCAGCCAAGGATAACTTGGTGCAGGCTGCAGGATTGATATAATCGTCCATCTGATGTTAGGAAGCGGTATCACAAACCTGCAGAATCAAGTGTCTAGGACTTCTTATCACAGGCAGGGAAAATGCCTCTCGAAGTAAACGCGCAAGTGGCTGCTCTACAGACACCTCTCTCTTCCTCAGCCCCGGCAGATTGCTTTCCTCCATCATCTGACACTTCTGCTGAAGGGACAGACTTCTTATCATTATTATTATTTTGTCTATTTGCTCTTCAGCCAAAACGAGAGAAATCCTTCCATGCAGATGAACTTTAGTCTCTCTTAGCTTGGAAGGGTTATGTAAAAACAGGGAAAGAAAAAAAAAAAGCAAAAACACACAGTGAATGGAGACTTCTCTTCCATCTCTTATTGGCTTCAGTTTTTTTTCTTTTTTTTCTTTTTCTTTTTTTTTTTTTTTTTTTTTAAAAAAAAAAAAAAAGAAACTTCTCAGACTCAAAGTTTTAATTGAAACCAGAAATCTATTGAGGAGTAACTGAGCCAAGAAAACCTCTGTTTTCTCTGCAACTAGGGATGGGGAGTAAATAATTTTTTGCTGATGTTATTTCAAGTTGTTTGAGCTCTTTGGTTCCTGCCAAAAAGCCCAGCATAGATTATTAACACATTATCATTTTAGGAGGATGCACTCTCTGAAATGTAATAAAATGGTGTTCTAGGTTTGTGCAGAGGCATTAACTATGTTAGTTGTTGGCAAACAAAAGAAACAGTGGCCATGATTTATTATTAATAATAATCATAACTGAGCTATTTAGCTTGACTTGATATTTGCTGAGTTCTCTACTGAGGTTTCTCAGTATCTTTTCCAATAACGTACTTTGATTAAGTTGGGAACTGCTCTTCTTTAATAGCTTCTATGGCCACATGCTTAATTAACCCAAGAAGTTAAATGCTCAAAAAGGTCCAACCATCTCTCTTTTTTTTTTTTTTTTTTTTTTTTTTTTTACAGCTTCATATGCTACTTAATCTTCTCTACTGTTCTATTCTGACCCATCCTTTGAACGCCTTTCCCCAGCACACACGTTTTTGAGGTGTAAGTGCCAGTTTACCAACAGGACTCTTGTTTTCCATTACAAGATTTGGTTAATCCTTTTTTTTTTTTTTTTTTTTTTTTTTTTCCTACCCTCTCAGTAGGGCTCAATTGCTCACACATAATCTTTCCCTTCTGTTTTCTTTTGCCTTTGGACAACACCCTCCAGGACTGAAAAACTCTTGCCTTGTGCTTGGAGGTTTGCAATTACACAGCAATTTTGACTCTTGACCCAACTAGTAGCGAGAAAGGCTACTGTCTAATGAACCACGTAAAAACAGTTCTGGGATCCAACAGATTGCTGTGATGGAGATGAAAACTATCCCAGTGAATAGATGACTGATTTCTTTAACCATCTGCCCAGGCATCTTTCTTTCTCCCCCTTAACTATCCTTCTCTGTAGTATTTGTGTTCTGTGGGTCTGTAATGATGTTGAAAAGCAGCATTAAGAGCTGCCAAAAAGTGCTCCATGATGCACAGCCTGCAGTAGAGACAATTCAATTGGGTTTAAACCATGTTCAGAAAATTCAGCACATCATTTTTGCTGTCCACAACACATAGGCATGCTGGATTCTGAGCATGTATGCACTGCAGTTAAGCATGCATTTGGCAATGGAAGAAGGACAGAAAGTTTATGTACAAAAAAAAAGGATATAGGTTCTCCCCTTGTTAACTTTCTTTTTCAAACATTAAATATAAATAAATAAATAAATTCCTTTCCTTACTGTTGGTGATGACACAAAGTGACTCATCCTTTTAGGAAATTGTCATCTTGATAAAGACATGCTTTAAGACCCTTCAGCTCCACATTTTAGCCTGAGAGCCCTGTCAGATCTGAAAACTATTTCCAAACTTTCAAGGCTGGGACTGCTTTGCCTTGTGATACATACATTAAATCAGGTTACAAGTGCTTGTTGTTAGCACAGTTGCTTATGAGGTGCACTAAAACCCTTAGAGATGTCTTTCTCCTTCTCCCAGCATGATAGCTTCATTTGATGTGGCTTCAGAAGTTCATTGCATCTTCACACCTGCAGCTTATCTAAAGGCTCTGGATTCTGTGCTCATGTTTAACCGACAGAGAGCAAGGTGTGGGACACACACGGGAACAAGAGAAACCAAAAAATCTGGAAGGAAAAATAATTCCTTACGTTGAGTAAAGGCTGTCAGATAACGCAACTTGTCCTTCATAGCTGAGGAAATGAGTAAAGGAAGTAGTGGTGGTGACTTGTATTTGTCAGCTTTAGAGATTGAGCAGTTAGGGGCTATTTTTCCCTCTCGGAGTTGGATTTGCTTTGCAGCACAGGTTATCCAAACACAGTAATTATCTTTTAATGTAAGCTGTGGAGCAGTAGGACATGAAAAGCAACCTTCTGACATTATTTCTTTTAAACTTCTGATGTCTTTTATAAAACAGAACATTTCAAAAAGTTCTCAGGTTAGCTACTTCTCGCTCCAAAAGGCCAGGTCAAAATGCTGGACCTCAAACACCCTGAAGATTGGGAGTATATAATCCCGGCATGATTTTGACCTTTATGTCTCTAGTCCAGCTGAGGAATCTTGCAAGGTCCCAGAATCTGTTTCTCTATGATATTTGCCTGGCTGCTTGTTCTCTAAATCTGCTTGCTCTTGTCAGTATGTGACAATGACTCTGTTGACATGAGACATAGAGAGGAAAGTGATGGGGGCTGAAGTGAAGGCAGAAAAATGGAAAAGCAGCGAAGAAGTATCAGCCACTGGTTTTGCTCACAGACCAGACAGTATTGTTTAAGAGTGGTGACTGCACTAGTTCTCACGTAGGTGTGCATCCAACATATGAGACTTGCAGGGAAAAAAGGCTTGTACAGATATTAAGGATCAGCCTGAGTTGTCTTCCCTTTGTAGAGCTCCTATGTACTGTTCCAAAAACAAGCTCAGTGTGTGGAAAGCCATGCAGGAGGTGACCAATATCTTTGTTGGTGGTGGGGAGGCTCTGACCTGTCCCAGGGAACACCCAAGC